AATGAAATGATTTATGAAGCCTTAAAAGTCTCTGGGAACATTCTAAATATTCCTTGTTGAATTCCTTATTAAATAAATGTTCTTCATTCAGTTAGCAGAATTTTCACAAGGTCATAGAAGCTAAAGGGATCTCAGTGATCTTCTGATCCAACTCAACTAAATAGGAATTTCTTTTAAAAAAATAAATATTCATTTAAGTTTTCTTCATTTCAATTCATTCATTAGGCATTTAATCACCCAGTATATGCCAGGCACCATTGGGGATACAAAGATTAAAAACAAACCAGTTCTTTTAAAAACCCAGAAGGGGTCATTCAACTACATTGGAAGATCTCTATTGATTGGAATCTCAGTCTGTCCTAGGGGAGGTGCATTTTACTCTTCAACAGTAACAGAGTTTTTCATTATAATTGTATTAAAATCTCTCTTCAGACAATTGTCAGTGTTGTTCTTAATTCTGCCTCATGCGGACTAACCAAAGCTTCTTCATCTCCATGCCAGTTTTTCAAATACTTGAAGATAGCTAACATATCTCAGAGAAGTCTTCTCTTAGATTAACCATCCCTAATTCATTGTGTAGTATGGTCTTCGGTACTTATCATCCTGGCTGCCCTCCTTTGTACATGCCCTTATTAGGGCATTTTGAACTGAACACAGTAGTTCAGATGTGTTTTGCTCAGGACAGCATACAATCAAGACCATAACTGTCCCCCTAGACATGATGCGTCTATCAATGTAGCTGTAGTTGGAGTAAGATTTTTTTTTTTAGTAGCTATCTTGTTATACTTATAATTCTTTTTGAACTTCAAGCTGAGTAAAACTCTTAGATCTTTTCCTGGGACCTATTGTCTAAGCTCATTCTATAATTGTGCCATTGATTTTTTGAACCCAACTTTATATTAATCCTGATTGAATTCCATCTTATAAAAGTTGGTCCTTGTTCTAGCTTGATGAAAATGTTTGGGATCCTAGCTCCATGATCCAATATGTTAGCTATCCTTCCAACTCTGCCATCATTGGAAGCATTAAGGAGCAATCTCCCTTCCCTGCTTCACTTACTATAACTTCTGGGTGCACAGCTTAAGGTCCTTGACTCTCTGGGTTCTTGCTTAGATGGTAGTGAGGACTAGGTATTCAGAGTTACAAAATGAATAGCATGCCTAATTTTGGCAGCTTCTCCACAAAGCTATGGTAAATGTTTTATTTTAATTGATGGTTTCAACAGCATTGTTAGTGGTAATGGAATTAAAATGCAGGAATCTCTTTCATACTAAAAATGACAACCTCTATTTTGATTGCAGAATCTTAAAATAATAAGGATTTGTACAAAAGCAAAGGGAAAACAAGACTATTTTGGTAAGGTAAACACCCAGGAATGGATAAAATGCAAGCTGATAAAAATTAAATAAGGTTCTTTTCCCTGAACAGTGAAAAACAATATAAATCTTAATATTTTTTAATACACAGTTGAGCTGTTACTTAGCAGAGAGTTACTTAAAATCCAAAGAATTTTACATTGTAAAAGTCTTTCAAAGGCTAGTGCCAAGAGTGTTGGTCTAGGCTACAGTACAAGAAAATTCTTAAGAGACTAAGCTTAACTTTCAAGTAACTTTTGGCTTCCAAATAAACCTAACTAATCTGAAGATTATTTAAAAGGACAAGTTCATTTCTGTGTAAAGTCCGTTGAGTGAAATAATTGAAGAATTAATTACTTCAAATAGCTAAAGAAATTCAAAATCACATGACCAAAGTTATTTAAAGTATCCTTATGAATTCTTAACGATATAGCTGGAGCTGGTTTGCTCAGAATCTCTGAAATGACTTAGTAAAACAATTCTATGGATGTACCTTAGCTCTATGGTTGGAAAAGAGTTTCCTTATCCACAAAATAAAGGAATCGAAATGGACAGTGCCACTTACCCATTATATCCAGTGCCCAATCTTGTCATTTTTACCTTTATAACATTTCCCCTGCTCTCCGTTCATGCAGCCACTTGATCCTAGTTCAGGGCCTCATTACCTTTCTCCTGGACAGCTGCAAGAGCTTTCTAAGTGCTCTTGTCATATCTCTCCCCACTCCAATCTATCCTCCACTCTGTTGCCAATGTTGTCTGATCATGTCACTCTCCTGCTCAAGGATCTCTGGTGGCTCCCTATTACCTTCAGGATCAAATATAACCTCCTCTGTTTGACATTTAGGTAGCTAGGTGGCTAAGTGGATAGAACACCAGACCTGGAGTCAGGACAATTTATCTTCAAATCTGGCCTCAGATATTTACTAGCTGTGTGATCCTGGGCAAGTCACTTAACCCTGTTTGCCTCAGTTTTCTCATCTATAAAATGAGTTCGCGAAGAAAATGGTAAACCACTCCAGTGTCTTTGTCAAGAAAATCCCAAATGGGGTCACAAAGAGTTAGACACAACTCAAATGACTCAACAACAACAACAACAAAAAACCAAGGTCCCTTACAATCCTAAACCTATGAGCCTATGAAATCCTTGATTTTCCAGATGAGTAAACTGCAATCTGGAGGGGAGCAACTTGCCTGTGGGTGTACACACAAGACCCAGGATTCAAACCCGGGTTCTTTGACTCCCAATCCAGTGTGTTTCCATTAAAATACTAACTTATTTTTAGTATTAAGGATGGTACAAAGAAACTTGAAGTATTGACATTTTGGAGACCACTATCATAGAAGTCCATTTTGGTTCTGGGTATAATCTGTCTCATTTGGGTAGGAGTAAATGTCTTGGAGCGTTTACCTTTATGGTTCCTTTTCTGCACAGATTCTTTTGCTTTAAAATTTAGAGGCTTTGCTAGTAATAACTCACTTTTATATAACACTTTAAAGTTTAATAAATGCTTTCTTTGAGGTAGGTGTCTCAGTGGATAGAGCACTGGGCTTAGAATCAGAAGACTCATCTTTCTGAGTCCAATCTGGCCTCAGACATTTTCTAGCTGTGTAATCCTAGGCAAGTCACTTAACCCTGTTTACCTCAGTTTCCTCATCTGTTAAATAAGCTGGAGAAGGAAATGGCAAACTACTCCAGTATCTTTGTCAACGGAACCCCAAATGAGGTCACAAAGTGTCAGACATGACTGAAAAATGACTGAACAACAACAAAATTTTTGGAATAACCCTGTGAGGCATCTCGTATAAGCATCTTTCCCACTAATTGATAGATAAATAAAATGAAGCATTGAAAGATTGGATGGTTTGTGTGAGGTCACATGGCTAGCAAGGATTAGAACTAAAACTTAAACTCAGGTGTCTTCTGACTCACCATTAAACCTGCTGCTTCCCAGTTATAAGAGCTTTAACCAGCAGTCTGCTTATATATGTTTGACAATTGGTTATCTGGGGAAAAATGTAGGCACAACACACCTTTAAGGTTAATCTACAATATTAGCATTTCCCCCCTCACTTTCTTAAGCTTAGACAATCAACAAAACAATAAATCAAGCCCTCATTTGTAGCATTCGCCAGTTTCAGAGGTGAGACATGTTCACACTGAATTTAATGATTGGCTCTCCCAAGCCAATATCTGTTAGCTCCAGCACACCCCTGGCCTTAACCATTGTAATTCTTGCCAGGTGCTCCTAGCATTTCTTCGTGTTTCATTAATTTGTCATATTTCTAAAACTTCACTTGAAGGCACTGTTTTGGTTTTCAGTTTTTTATCTCTATCTGCTTAATCTTGCTCAAACTTTATTAAAAAAAAAGAAGCTTGGGACACAGGTGCTATAGAAAAAATGAGTAACTGTGGATTTATTTACTGCTAAGATTTCATGATTCTGTCATTAGATTGTTCCTGTTTATTATTTCCCTGTGCTTCATGGAGCTGCCAATGTAATTTATATCGATGCAGGAGATATGAAAGCCCTAACTGCTCTTCTTGCATCTAGTTTTTTCTCTCCCTTTCTCCCATCCATTTTTCACATGATTCCTCTATTTAAAATGATTTCAGTGCTTCCTCATTGCCTGTCATTGGATCCTTTTGCTGGCTTTCAAGGCTACCCACCATACGGCTCTAATCCACTTTCCTGGCCTTCTCTTCCACCACTGCCCTTCATGTATTCCTTCCAAACTGGATTCTTTAGCTCCTCCCCCAAGTTGTGATCCTGGCTTCTCCCATTTCTGAGCTTTGGCTCACCCTCTATGCTGGAATGAACTTCCCCTCTATCTCTTTGTGCTAAAGTCCTCCTCCTTTAAGGTCTGACCTCAAATGCTTCTTTGAGGTTTATATTATTCAAGTTTATATTATATTAAAAGATATAATAATAATAAAATATATGTTATTCAGACTCTGACTTGCCTAGAATCTTTCTCAGGCCCTCCTTTCAATCTATCTTATCATTAATTACGATAGCTAATGCTAGCTAACATTTAATTAGTGTTTACTATGTGCCAGGCACTGTGCTAAGTGCGTTTCAATTATTTCATCTGACCTTCACAACAGCTTGCCAGGTAAGTACTATTATTTTCCCCATTTTACAGATAAGGAAACTGAGTCAAATAGAGGTTAAGTGACTTGCCCAGGATCAAATAGCTAGTAAGTGTATGAAGCTAGATTTGAACTTGAGTCTTCCTAACTATAGGCCCAATGCTCTATCCACTGAATTAACTAGCTGTCCCTGTCATTACTTATATCTGTGTCTTTCCCCTTTTTAGCTTGTAAAGTACTAGAGAGCAAAGTCTGTGTCATATCAATCTGTGTGTTCCCACTGCCTAGCTCTGTGCCTTGAACAAATCAGGGACTTTAACATATTTGTTGCATTGAATAGAGAATATAACCATATTTTCTTGAAGTCTTCCCTTTTTTTCTGTCCTATCGAGCAAGTTTGCCCTCAATGTTCATTTTAAGCAGATCTCAAACATAAAATGTGACTTTGTCCTAAATCCCACTTTTCTCTTCAGATATTGTTCTCCCAATAGCTTGTCAGCTGTCGTACCTATAGTAGCAGCAATTGTAACGGGAGAGGATCGGCGTATACTCACCACTGTGCAGCAGAGGGGCCAAAACCACCAGAGAAGAACCAGGGCCAAGAGCAGGAAGAGGATCAGCAGGGCGATGGCCAGGATGGTACCATCAGACTGCAAAGGGGAGGAAGACAAGTTTTTAGGATAACTCATTGAGAAAACAAATCACTGGGAATGGCAAAGTCCTTGTCATTTGCAGAGAGCTCCGAGGTCTGTTTGAATGACTCTTGGCGGTTTTCTACATCTGTAAAATGAGTTAGGGAAGGAAACCACTCCAGTGTCTTTGCCAAGAAAACCCCCCATGTGCTCACAAAGAGTTGGATACGACTTATTGACAAAACAACAACGACCCAGCCGCTCTTTTAGTTTGGGTGTCATGGACCTCCGTGTTTTGGTCATCACCATTAGGACTTGCTCACAATCAGAATACAGAACTTCCAGGGTCTTAGATCATCAAGTCCAATGCCCTCATTTTATAGAAGACAGGAGGAAGGTCATACAGCTAACCAGGACTTGAACTCTGGTTTCCTAACTCACAGTCTGGAGTCTTTCTTTCCTATCCTAGTACATTGTTGTCCAGAAATGAAATGGGCTACCATGTGAATTAGTACCTGTTTAGTTACTTTTGCTCATATCTTGAGTTAACAATTCACTTCAATTTACCTTATAGCTGTTTAGAATGAGTGATGGTGGCAGAGGGTGGGGGGTAGAATATTTTACCTTTTCCTTGTTTGAATACAGATAGCTTAATAGGCTCCAAGGAGTGGTCCCCAGCAGATCATGGACTGAGGAAATTATTTTGTATTATGAATAGGGTGGAACTGCCTTGATTCATGACTAGCTCCTTTCTTAGAAAAGACAGAGTGCACCTTCGTCTACTTTCAAATCTGTCAGAACGCAGAATATAGAAAGTATAGTGTTGCTTCTCAATCTTCAAGAAGGCAAAGCTATTTGCTGGAGTTGGTGGCGAATGTCTGGAATCCCCGGAGACAGGAAGCTAAAACCGGAGGATCTCCTGAACTTAGGAGTTCTAAGATACAGTGAGCTAATCTTATCAAATGTCCACACTAAGTTTAGAGTTAATATAGAGAATCCTCGAGCATGCGGGGATGCCAGGCTGCCTAGGAAGGTGGTAGAACTGGCCGCGGTTGTTAAACAGAGCATGTCAAAGTTCCCAAGCTGATTGGAGTGGGCTGGGCCTGTGAGTAGACCCTGTGCTTCCAACCCAGGTGAGCTACGGAGATTCAGTCGTGGGAAAAAAAAAGGCAAAACTGAGTGATCCTGGATCCTAGCAAGAAGGAACATAACTACAAGGGTGTGATATGAGTAGAGTGGAGGCAATAGGTAGGGCTTCAAGGATCTTTCTCTTAACCTTATTTTCTTTGTTCCTGCCGGCTACCCCCAAGAGCAAAGGGTTAGTTCTGTCTTTGTGCTCTTCCTTCTCTGTCCCAGTAGGCCTGTATGAGTGTTTTACAAGATAAAAACATTGATTTACAGCCCAGGGTCCTAAGCCTACCGTTGCCCTGGGCTGCTCGAGTGCCAAATGGAGGTTATCATCATAGAACCACAAAGTCATGAAATGCTAGACGTGTAAGGACAGAGTATGATAATCTTGTCCAAGCTGTTGGTGACCAGGAGAAAAGGAGTCTTTTTGGCTCTGTTTTCTCTCTCCTTCTTCCAGAAGACTGAGGGAGCTCACTTCTTTCTGCCCTGCCTCTCCTTTCTTTCATAAAGGTCAAGAAGCACTTATTGCTTCTAAGGCAACCACATATGTGGTAGGCCCCACTGGGCCCAGGACAGGTATAGATTGACAATTCCACCATCTATTTTTCAGGTATAATTGTATATGTGATATGTTTATTTACGTGCATACAGCTACAGTATGTCTGAAAAGTCTTAGTGCATTTTTAAGCTATTAAAGCTTAAAACTGACTTCTTTGAGGAATTTCATACAGCTAGCCAGAGCTTTAACTCTGGTTTCCTAACTCAGTCTAGACCCTTCCTTTTCCATCATACTACATTATTGTCCAGAAATGAAGATGTAAGTGAGGGTCATCATAAGTATTTTCAAGTATTTCACCAGAATTTCAGAGTTGGAAGGCACCTCTCTGACCATCTAATCCAACCCACATCAGAAAAGGAATCTCCACTGTAACACAGCTGATAAAGGGTCATCCAGAAATTGCTTGAAGACCTCCAAAAAGGAACAGCCTATCAACTCCTGAAGAAACCATTTCACTTTTGCATAGCTCTAATTTATTATAATTGTTTCCCTTATATCAAGGCCAAATTTGTCTCTTTTCAACTTCTGCCCATTGTTCTTAGTTCTATCTTCTGAGGCCACCCAGAATAAGACTAATTTTGCTTCCATAAGACAGCCCTTCAAATACTTGAAGATAGATAGCTGTCATGCTCCCTCTTCTCCCCATCCCCTACCCCGCCCCAACCCTATCTTGTTTTCTATTGGTTAAATTCTTCTGGTTCCTTCCACCAATCCTCATACAGGAATAACCAGAGAACCTTCTCCATCCTGGTTTCCTTCCCTTAGATTACTCTCTAGCTTTGGAAGAGACGTAAAACAGAAAAGAGGTAACTTCTGTTCTGCATGGCTCCAGGATCGAGGAACAAAGGGTAGAAATTCCTAAGAGGAAAATTTAGGCTTGATGGAAAGAATAACTTTCTAATTAATAATATATTCAAGTAAGGTATGGGTTTCCTTGGGAAGTTGTGTGTTCCCCTTCACTAAGAATTTTTAAGTAAAGACTGGATGACCCCTCATTGTAGAAGAAATTATGATTTAGGTATTAGTCAAACCACAAGGCCTCTGAGGTTCCTTCCTCCTGGAGGATGATGTGATTCTGTAGCTTTATAGCTTTGGTTAAATTACACACCTCTGTGAGCCTCACCTTACTCATCTACCAAATGGGGGGATAATAATACTTAAACAACCTGCCTCACAAGACTGTTGTGGAAAGTATTTGTAAAGTACAATGTCAACTATTAACTTATTTATTGAGTTCCAAGATGGCTCTCTGGCTTCACCCAAAGAAGACGTCAATATAGGCCTGAGTTATTTTGGGGCTTTTCAAAATTGGCAAAGAAGCAGCTTTTTCTTATTGCAACCACTGGGGACATCTTTGGTTAAGAGCTAGGAAGTTCAAAGTCCCCCAAACCAAGTATTGGCCCATCTCATCAAGGTTTGCAGAAATATCAGGTTATATCAGAAGGAGCAAAAGCCTCAGATGTACAGGTGGCTGTAGGAGTAGACCAAACACAGTGGTGGGTGGTTTCCCCCAGAGTCAGATTTCTGGCAGGAGCCCTAGCCAAAGAGCCCAGTGAGATGATGAGGAAAGTACAAGGGGAGAGAAAGAAGAAGGAGGAGGAGAAAGAAGGGAATAAGTACTGGGAGGGTGCTTCCAAGGAGCATTGCTCTTGGAATAATGATCTTGGGATTGGTTAACCACCCTTTGCACTAAGGAATTTTTTTTTCAGGAATAGTATTCTTTCAGTTATCCACAAGAAGTAAATAAGTCCCCAAGGAAAGAAAACAGTGGCAGCCACTTGATAACAGGGTGAACTACTGTGAATGAAATAAAAACTGTCATAAAGCTGTTTGTAAAAACTCTGGATCTCAAAAAATGTATAGTTCAAAGATAATGAAAGACACCTCCTCTGGAATTTAACTGTTGCGTGGAGATCTGCTGACTTCCAGGCTTTGTATTCTTTTGTTGGGGCCAGTATACTTATGCTATACTCTGGAACTACAAGCACAATTTCTTCCCTCGAAGGTGACCCTGGATTCTGGGGACTATGGATTCTAGGGACTTTGGATTTTACTGGGCCAGCATGTCACAGACATACATACATAAGTATATATGTATATAAATATATCTTTCTATTTTTTTTTCATTAGCAAGGACTTTATACAAGTATGTAGGAGGCATACTATCTGTATTAGTGGGATGACAACCCACACAATGAAATTGTAGATCCTTGAAATAATTAACTTAGTGCTAATCACACAGGAGGAGTTAAATAAATGCCCACTGAGATATACTGGCAGAAAAATCATCTTCAAACATGACATGAACTAGTTCATGGTTCTAGGTAATCTTTGTAATAGGAGAGAATATTCATAGTAGTGCAATGGAAAGATCCCTACCCTGGAAATGAGAAGACCCAGGTTCTAGTTAAAGTTTTAAAAGAATCATATATCATGCTGTATATCAGAGGGATTTGAAGGTCATCTCATCCAATCTCCCACCCAATGTTCCCCTCTAACACTCTTAAGATAAATTACTTCGCAATGTAGTGCATTCTAGTTTGGCAGTTCTAATTATCAGCAACTTTCCCTGCATATATCACTAATAATAATAATAGACATTTATACAATACTTTAAGGTTTATAAAATGCTTTCCTCCCAACACTGTAAGGTAGGTAGTATAATTAGTTGTTTTCTCCATTTTTACAGATAGGAAAATTGATATTCAGGAAAAAAAATTGCCCTGAGACATATAACTAGAAAATATAAAACCCCAGGTATAAACCTGGGTCTTCTGATTCCAAGACTGGTAATTTCTCCCCTGAGTAAACATGTGACTTTGAATAATTTTCTCTCCTTGGGTCTATATTTCCTTCCCTGTAAAATTAAAGAACTGACTAGACAGTTCCCATGGTGTTTTACATCCCTTCCCCCCCTCCCTTTCCCCCTCCCCCCCCGCCCCATAGCAGAATGGGCTACATAGCTATCCAGGTAACCAACTGCAATCTGCTTCCTTCAGTCCTCTTCCCATAAATCGTCCTATGACCTCATCCCAGGCTGTTCTTCTAGAGTTTTCCCCCCTTCGGAATGCTCTGATTAATTATTTGAATCTCATTTTTCCCTTATGGAAAGGTTGATGATGCATTTTGTTGCTGCTGTTTGTCCTTAATTTTCTTTTTCTTTTTTCTTTTGTTAGGCAATTGGGGTTAAGTGACTTGCCCAGGGTCACACAGCTAGTAAGTGTCAAGTGTTTGGTCTGAGGCCGGATTTGAACTCAGGTCCTCCTGACTTCAGGGTCAGTGCTGTATCCACTGTGCCACCTAGCTGCCTCTTGTCCTTCATTTTCAAAGA